GGTGGGCTAAATCTGCATAAAGAAAGCAAGTGTTAGTCCGATTCAGAAATAGGAGACCGAAATAAAGAGAAGCATGCAATAGAGCCGAGGTAATTATACCGGTGGTTCCTTTATTCCAGTTTATTCGGTCACCAGGAATCTGGGCTTCATGGTCTTCGAAGTTCCCAGAAACCCAGAAGAAATCATCATCGTTCAAGTCTTTATCCTGTGTGTCCGTTATTATTTTCTCTCGACGACGGCGTATTCTTAGATAGTAGACCCAGCCATCTTCTTTTGATCCTATTGAATATTGATGAAAGAGTTCGGCTAAGCCGAGGTTAATGCCAGCTCGGCGGTTTAGCTCGGCTATATTGTTAATTATGCGGTATGAGTTTGTGGAAAGCTGAGTTGGGCATATCCTAGTTTGCTTAAGGAATTCACAAAGTAAGGGCTGAACAGGGAATCTTAGGTCGGTTTCTACAATGGAAAGGAGGGTGAAGGGAACACAACCAGGGTTCCCCCAAGGTATGATATCTTGTTCGGCCAAGGTGAGATGGACGTCATTAGGGATGTTATAATCCTTTCGGAATTTGGCCAAACCCCTCGGTGTGTCTACCAAGAACCTATATTTACCCATTCTCTTTTAAGTTACGAATAAATTAAGCTTGTGTTAGCTCGGTCGGAGAAAGGTGCTGAGTAGTTCGGTTGAGCGCTCAAAGGAGTGCCTGGGCAACCTAAAGTCTGCAAAGTGAAAAAAAAAGGTGTTAAGCACAGCTCGTGGGACCGTGCTAAAAGAACAAAAAGGGGCAAAATAAATATAGTCCTAGCTCGGTTTGAAGAAAGAATTTGGTATCTTGGTTTGTGCAAGGGGTTCGTTATTTCGTTTTGTGCAAAGGTTAGTGTTAGCCCGGTTGAACCTCTAGGGGCAGCGCTCTCAGTTCGATTTGAACTACGATGGCTGGGTTAGCCCCAAGTTATAGCTCGGCCGTGGTTGAGACTGACACACTATTACGCAGACTTAGTGCGGATTGCTAACTCGGCTGAGTTAAAACAAGAGGTGGTTTGACTTGTTGAAACTATTGTTATAGCGTGAGGTGTTAGTTCGGTTGAATGGCCTGGCTAGAGTGACATCAACTACAAACTACTTTTTAGTTCGGTTGTACAGTGATTTTGGATCAAAATCAGTGTTTCAGTTTATTCGTGAAAAGCCAGAGGTTCTATTACACAAAAGAAAGGTATGTGTTTAGAAAAAACACACAAAATACATGTATTGTAAAAGCAAATGGGAAAAACAACAAAAACAAGGCAGATTTGAGTAAACTTACCAAGTCAAGAGGAAGAAATCGGAGATGGAAACAACGGCAATGAAGAACACGAACTCAGCAAGTTCAGGGTTAAAGAAGCTCAGGAACGAGAGAGTTTGAAGAGGAAATGAATAGTGTGGTGAGTGATTCGAAAAAACAAAAAGTTTTGTTTTGGTGGAAGGACCAGAGGCGGGAACTGTTCAAAATACACGGAGTATGAAGACGGCGTGACAGCTGCATTGGGCCAATCAGAGGGGGCCACGTGTCATAGGAATGAGAAGCGATTCAGTTGCTGTGATTGAAGAGACGTTTTGACCGGACAGGTACAGCCCGGTGTAAATTTAGCTCGGCTGGAAAGGCTAAAATGGTTTTTAACCCGGCTGGAAAGGCTAAAAGGGTTTTTTACCCGGCTGGAAAGGCTAAATGGTTTAAGTTCGGTTGGAATTCTGAAATTTTTTAGCTCGGCTGGTAACAGGTAATCCCTATCATGCTACGCAGATGGAATTAAGGGGCAATTGAGAGGGTAATTTATACTTATAAATTAGGCCGAGCTGGGTAATGGGCCGTTATGGGCCACATTGCGAAGGGCTGAGTAAAAAGGTCATGAAATTACTCCGGCCCAAAAGAGGTGTAAAGTTACTCCAGTCCCAAAGAGCTTATGGTAAGTTTGATCGTCACTCACAAAGTTACCCCGGTTTGGACCGGAGTATTGGTTATTCCGGTCTAGACATACCGTGGTTAGCATTAAGAGCCAAGGTAAGAGCAGTGAATGGCAGAGCCGAGCTAATGTTATCTCGGTCTAGTCTGCGGCTTAGCATAGCCATGCTTACCTCAGTCATGTTGAAGTCTGACCATGATAGAACCATCTCACTTGGTTTATGCAGTGAAGGGGGTGTTGAAGGATAGGCATTATCTTTCAGGAGTATGAATCCTAGGAGGACTCTATATGGAGGAATAAAAGTCCTACTAGGATTGTGCCACGCGGAACCTATAAAAACTTACATCACCTATGGAGAGGTAACACACAACTTTGATTCTCAAATACACAGAGCTTTTTGTCTTTGTCTATTTTGCTGACTTAGGCATCGGAGAGGTATCCGGCACACACCCGCCGGCTAGCTCACATTTGTGTTTTCAGGGAGTAAATTGACATCGTTTGGAGGAGCGCAGACTTGATCAACAGGATTATACGAGAAGATTTATTTCTTTCCTGTACACCTCTATTTTGTGTAAATAATCAAAACTGATACTATATGATTTTCTGTGTTTATATAGACTTAGTGTGTATATGTGAATGCGTTTGGTGTACGTAAGGCAATGATCAACTATCTTTTGTTTTTCTATCAATTTTTCTAATCTAATCACAAAATTAGACCCAGCCCAATGCTCTCACATATTAGAGGATTATCTGACTATAATCGAATTCTCTACACTTAAAATGTTTCCTTGGCTATTGACTTTGAGGTTGTGTTCCGTTTGATTGGTGAATTTGATGAGTTAAATGAAAAGGAAAAATTGAAATATAATCACACCTGTTGTTTACATAGGAAAAGAAAGTGAGAGAGAAAGGCAATTTATTTTTTTATCTTTTCAGTTCACTTTGTTTAATTTATGGATTTGAAAAGTGTTTTGGAAACGAAAAGGAAAAAAAGGTGTAATATGTTTAAAACATAATTATATTTCATATATATTTAACACATTCTTGTTTTTGGATATTTACCAATAAATCTCATCTCACCAATAAGTATTCTAATTAGTCTCAAATTTTTTCTATTGATTTGTTAAGTCCTATTAGTGGAGAGTTTCTTTCTGTGTAGTCTTATTTTTTATTTTGGTAGACAGTTATACCCTTTTATTAATGTGACGGGTATGATGTGATATCTAATGTGACAGGTATTAATATGATACTCCAATAATGTGACACTCTAAAAAAAATTAAAAACTCTTTAGTGTACTTTTTCTAAATGTGACAACGTAGAGGGTATGATATGACACTCCAAAACTTTTACTGAAAAAAAAATAATAACACCTTAGTATACTTTTTTCAAACGTAACAACGTGGAAGGTATGATGTAACACTTAAAAAAAATAAAAACTCCTTAGTATACTTTTATCAAATGTGACATCATGACAGGTATGATGTGACACTTAAAAAAAATTAAAAATTTCTTAGTGTATTTTTCTCAAACGTGACAATGTGGCAGATATGATGTGACACTATAAAAAAATTAAAAATTCCTTAGTGTGCTTTTTCCAAACGTGACATGTGACACTCTAACGTGACGAGTATGATGTGACACTCCAAAAAAAATAAAAAAAATTTAGTGTATTTTTCTTAAATATGACACTCTAACGTGACAGGTATGATGTGACACTAAAATTTTTTAGTGTACTTTTTCTAAATGTAACATTCCAATGTAGTGGATAAATGAGTCACTATACATCCAAAAGGACTTAATGGATCACAAGAAAAAATATAGGACTATATGAATTACAAGTCCAAAATATGAGACTTATTGGTCAATATCCTTTTTTTTTTTCTTTTCTAAGTCGATTCTCAAATTCATAAATCAAATACAGCTTTAGGCTCTTTTCTTTTTCTATTTTCAAACTCAACCGAATATAATTTGAAATTCGAATCTTATTTCTTTTTTCTTTTCTTTTTATTTTCTATTTTTTCCGTCGAATCTTGCAATCAAACACAGTTTAAAAAATCCTTGTTGAACCATGTCTAAGGTTTGACAATGTGTTAGCCATCCTCTTACAAATTTTTTAAAAATAATTATAATGAATAGGAAGTAAGTTTTTAAATCAAAATATAAAATCAGCACCAATAACAATAGCTTAAAAAAAATTAATTATGACTTATTTTAATTTTGGAGTATGTGTCAAATAATTTGGTGCAAAATAAGTTGAAAAAAAATTAATTATCATAAAAGATGGGGAAAGGAACTTTTAACTCTTCATGATTAGCAGTTTTTAACTTAGAATAATTTGCACCAAACCATGCCAACATAGGAGTATTGGGAATTGGGTGACTCGATCATTAAATTTGTTAAAATCATCATCCACATATAAAAAAAAAAAAACAAAACAAAACAAAACAAACTTCTATAGCAATAGAATCGGTTGTATTAATTGTAAATTAAATTGTGAATCATTTATGGAGAATATGTATATGAGTTTTTCTTTCCATCAATATAGAAAGTGTTGAGACTTGGATCTCAAGCCAATTATCAATGAGATTTGAACCTCAAATTCGAAAGCTAATAACTTTGGTATTGGCCTCACAACAACGAAGGGTTATGCATACAATAATTTGAGAAAATTTCATTTATCAATTAGATCCTTATCCTTTTAATTAGATGAATTTTATAATTGAACTATTTGAATGGGGTTGGGACTGGAATTTTTAAAAAATATAGGACATGAAATTTTTAGATCAATTTTATAACGAAAAATGCTTCGGACCCCCACTGGGGGTCGACCCCCAGTGAGGTGGCGCGTCGTGATTGGACAAAAAAAAACTATTTTTTTTTTTCTGAGTTTCAGCCAGTGGGGGCTCGCCACCTCACTGGAGGTGCGACCCACTAGGGGTCTGCAGCATAGTTGTTTTATAACTGAACTTTAATCACAGACAACTGTTGTTTTATTTTATTTTAATCTAGTACTGTGTGTGTACCTCTTTTGCTAATACAAATCTTCATTCCTTTTCAGAGCTTTGCACTTGACAAGGAGACTGGCAAGAAATGCGTCACACTACCGGCCCGGAAGCTCAATATTGCTTGGAAAAATGGTCCACAACACTGGCAATGGATAACTTTACCTGAATCAAGGTCTCCCCCAATCTTTCTCTCTTGTGTTTTGTGTTTTTTCTATAAATGCCATAAAGCTTGGAAACCGATGTGGGATACAAATGCGATATGATGATATGTACAACAAGATCTATAAAAGAAAATTAGATACAGATTGAAATAAATTTTTTAACGTTATATTATACACGAGCTCAGAAAATAGTGAGAAATAATTCCTTAAGAATTCAATATTAGTTTAAGAGTCAACAGTCAGTTCACTCTTTTTTAGTGCTGCGTTAATTTGATAAAAATTGAAAAAGTAGTGTACTACTTTAATGTCACTATTATGTTTTTTTGGTGTAAAAAAAAAAAAAAAAAATTGATTTGTTTTTTTATTCCAACAATTATACTCTAATATACATGGCAGATGTCAAACACATTTTTGCAAGCATCCAAAGAATATCGATATTTAATATTGGTGCAATACGGATCCGACTCCCTTCACTCTATGTCTGGTTTTACTATTCTTAGCATTAATCTGTGCATAAAAATGTGCAGATTTTGGAAGGTGGCACGAGTCCAGGGTGTTTGTTGGCTTGAAATTTGGGGCAACATAAAGACTGGAATTGTAACAACCCACATTTATGTCTTAGTCATGTTCATGAACATTTGTATGATTACGACTCGTTAAGCTTGCATTTGTATGTTTGTGACTTGTTTTGCCTAAGTAAGATTCATGCCTTGTTTTGATGCCTATGTGATTTGCTTAAGTGTTGTCTACATGCTTTGTTCCTTCCTTGGTGTCTCAAGCCTAAGTTATGTTAAGCCGAAGTCATGCCAAGCCTAGGTTATGTTAAGCCTAGACCATTCCAAGCCGAGGTCATCTTCAGTCTAGAATTATCTTGGAACCACTTTGTTCGACCTCCACCTTCGCCCTGACATATTGACCGAGATGTCATTATCTAGGCCGAGGTGTTCATCACCAAGGCCGAGATGTGTACTATCTAGGCCGAGATGTCACATTTGCACCTAAGTGATCTTGTCCTGGAGTGGTATGACCTAGACTGAGGTGTGGCACATCTAGGCCAAGGTGTGGCACAGCTTAGTCAAGTGTTGTCCTTCCTAGCCGAGGTCGTTGTCACGTTAGTTGCCGAAGCTTTGTCCTTAGCCGATGTCATCACTTGCCGGAGTACCTTACCGGGTAGCTTGTTAGATACACTTTGTCATAGTCTTGTCTTGTCAATCTATCACCTTTTTTAGGAGAACCAACCAGCCGTTGCCACGTGTCCGAGCTGAGTGTTAAGTCAGCCGATAGAGAGAGAAAACCTATCATTTCTATATCTTTGTTTTGAAGAGGAGAGAGAAGCTCTAGGTGAGGAAGAGGAGTTCTTGAGAGGAGGTAGATTTCCAAGCTTGATCCCTAGAGATCAAACCGTTGGATTCATGTTCTAAGGTTAGATTCTTGATCTGCTCATGTTGTTCTTTATGTTCATGTTATTGCATTGCATGATTGAATATGATTTGTAAGCCATGCATTGCTTTCAAGTTCGGTTTTAGAAAGAGAAAAGAGCATTCATGTGTTCTTGAAGAAAAAGTCTTGTTTGATCTGAAAGTTTGCATTAAGATTCATGTTTTTGTGTTTGTTCTCACAAGATCCTTGAATATGGGTACCCAGGTCCATGTTTTTGAACTCATAGCATGAAATCTCAGATTTTGTAATAGCAAATTATGATCCTTGCATCCATCTTCCTCATGTTCATGTTCTTCATGTTCATCATGTTCTTCACGGGTGGAAACCCAGATCTCCAGACTTCACTTCCCGATGTGTAGTCGCCGAGATCACTCTTACCCAGACCTCACACATAGGCCAAGCATCGTATCTCACCTTGGCCTACCTTGCATGATCACTTACACCTTTAGTTTGTCTTGAGCGCACCTCGACATGCAGCCGCACGCCGAAGCCTAGGTAGCCACACCTCGGCCAGGAGGTGTGGGACCTCGGCAAAGACCTGGTTGGTACCCAGCATGTCTTCCTGACATGTAAAACAGTGTTTTGACTTGCAGCGTGTTTTCCCGAGATCATTTGCATGCATGTAAGACTTGTTTTAAGAAGTGCATTCAGTATGCTTTGCCATGTGTTTGTAGGACTTGGACCTTTGCCTTGATCCCAACGTCCCAAGAACTATGTGAGTGGTATTTTTAATAAAGCTATGTTATAAGGTTTTGATAAAGCTTTGCCTTGTTTTGATAAAAATATTTGTTAAGCATGAATGATGTCCATATTTTATGTATCAAGTATAAGCTTTGTTTTGGATGACATTCTTGGAACCGTCCTTTCGTGTTAGGGGACGTTAAGCCTAAGCAACACCGTCCTTTCGTGTTAGGAGACGTTAAGCCTATGTAACATAGTCCGTACGTGCTAGGGGACTATAAGCATTCGTAGCACACGTGTGAAGTCCGTACGTGCTAGGGGACTATAAGCATTCGTAGCACACATGTGAAGTCCGTACGTGCCAGGGGACTATAAGCTTTTGTGGCACCTTTGTTGTTTTGTCCGGAATGTCATGACCCCATGTTTTAAGATTTGACGTATGTTAAGTAAGTAAGTTTTGAAAGACCAAGGTTCGGTTGATGTTTGGTTTCAAATCAAGTTAAGCTATGCTATGTGTGGTTTTGACAAGGATATACTATGTATTGCTTTGAAAAGACCTCGAGAATCATTCATTTAACCCCTTTATTACTTATACCATTCACTGAGTATCCAAGCTCACCCTCCCTATGTATGTATGTAGGCAACAAGCAAGAAGTCGGCTACGCCGAGATGTGTGTTTTGTATGCATGTTATGTCAGCAGTGAGGATGTCGGCAATCTTGAAGCTTTTGTATTTGAACATGTCGGCTTGAGAAGCCCTTTTGTTAAGATGTAACATTTATTTTTGTACTTCATTTTATTTGTATTCAAGTTTTAAAGTTATGTAAAGATGTATGCCATTTCATTTGACTTATGCACTGCTCTTATGGACCACTTGTATTTTAGATTATTGCTTCCGCACTTGTGAGCCCCATATATTTATACTCTGATTGTGTGTGGATTTTGAAAGTTGGCCTTCGGTAATCTCGGATTACTGGCCATCACGGCACCAAACTACTAGGGGCGGTTTGGGGTCGTGACAGGAATGCTATCCCCAAAGACCACTTATGCAACATTCCTTATATTCAAAATCATGGAGAAATTTTCTGGACTTGAATCGGTCCTTATGAAGGTATCAGTTAGATTTGTTGGTGAAATGGAAGTTGGCAATGGAAAAGAAGATTACGGCAGCACTATGGAGTACTGAGCCGAAGGGGGTAGTCCGTTAGTACCCCAATGGTATGCTCTTGAAAGTAATGTATCAGTTCTCTTGCTGCCATGACGAGAGCAAGGATGAGTTTTTCCAACGAAAGGTAACGTGTTTTGGTGTCAACCATTGCTTTGCTCACATAATAAACTGGCCGCTGCTCCCCTAGTTCTTCCTTTAACAGTACGGCGCTGAAGGCCTGGTCGGAGACTGCCAGATATAAAATAAGCGGATCACCCTCCGAAGGTGTTGTTAAGAGTGGAGCTGATCGGAGATAAGTCTTCAAACCTTCCAAGGCGGCTTCGCACTCGGCGGTCCATTCGAAAGCTTTTTCCTGCCGCAAGGTATGAAAGAATTGTCGACAGCGATCTATGGAACGACTGATGAATCTGTTGAGTGCGGCGGTCATTTCCATCAGTTTTTGAACATCTTTGACCGACCAAGGTGAGCCGAGTTCTAGAATTGCTGTGATTTGCCTCGGGTTGGCTTCGATTCCGCGGTGGTTAACAATGTAGCCAAGGAATTTGTCGGATTCGATGCCGAAGGCACATTTCGAAGCATTTCAGTTTCATTTTGTATTTACAAAGAATGTCGAATGTCTCTTCTAGATCGGCTAGATAAGTTTGCTCTTCTTTGGACTTGACTACCATATCATCAATGTACACTTCCATAGTACGGCTGAATTGCTCCTTGAACATGGCAGTGACAAGTCATTGGTAGGTTGCCCCCGCATTCTTCTGCCCGAAAGGCATAACCTTATAGCAATAGGTTCCTCTGGAAGTGAGGAAGGCGGTCTTGTCTTGGTCCTCTGGATGCATGGCAATTTGATAGTAGTCTCTGTATCCGTCCAAGAAGCTCATACGTTGATAATGTGTCATTGCATCGACGAGTTGGTCAATTCTTGGAAGGGGAAAGTAATCCTTGGGACAAGTTTTGTTTAAGTCCCTGAAATCCACACAAACACGCCAAGTTCCATTTTTCTTCTTTACGACCACAATATTCGATAGCCATGTAGGATAGGTCACTTCACGGATTGCCCTAGCATCAAGTAACCGGTCAACTTCTTCAACAATGGCAGCAGTGTGCTCCTCGGCTAACCGCCGGCTTTTTTGGATAATCGGCTTACATTTGGAATCAACGTTCAAGCAGTGTTGAGACACAGATGGATCCACCCCCGGTATCTCATATGGTGACCATGCAAAGACATCAAGGTTGCCGAGTAAAAAGGAAATTAGCTCCTATCTATCAACTTTATTCAGGGAGGTGCCGACCATGAAGAACTTGTCAGGATTTCCATCAATTTCAACCCGATCCAGGGCTCCGGTTGCCTTTTCACTTGGGAGCCGCCCAACGTCGTCGAGGCTCGCTCAATCCGGCACCTCAATTGAATTCACTTGTAGCTCCCTTGGTATTTTTGCGGCAAGAAGATAACATGCATGCGCCGATTTCTGGGAACCTTGAATTTGCTCAATGCCGCATTCAGTCGGAAAGCAAAAGTAGTTGATGATAGGTGCTCGGCATGGCCTGCATGGTATGTAACCAAGTTCGTCCCATGATAAGATTATACAGCGAAGGGTGATTGACAACCAAAAACTTTACATCCACTGACCGGGAGCCCGCCCAAATTGGTAGTGTGATTTTGCCCAACAAATATTTTAGATTAGCGTTGAAGCCGAATAACGGACAATAAGCTGGACACAGGTCCGACTCAATAAAACCGAGTTTGACGAAGGTCTTATAGTACATAACTTCTGAAGTGTTCCCCTGGTCAATGAGAACATGGTCAACGGTGAATCAGTTTACGCGTAGCTCGATGACCGAGGGATCAATGTATGGGAGCGTTACGCCGGCCAAATCAGAATCGTCGAAAGTAATACTCAGAGCTTCATGGGGCCGTTTTGCTGGTGTGATTTACTTTTGAGGGTCAGGATGCGACTGAATTATATGTACCGCGGATGCCGTCAGCAAGCTGTATATCATATGGATTATGCCGAGTGGGGGTGAATCTTGCCGTAAAGCAACTATTTTTGTTGAGTTATTTTTTCGGACGTGTTGCTTAAGCCGACCGTCTTGTACTAACTGTTCAAGGTGGTCTTTCAACGCATAACAACTGTCGGTATCATGACCGTGGTCTTTGTGATATTCGCACCGTCTATCCCGTCCTCATTGATGATGAACCTTGCCCTGAAGGACTTTTGGAGTTGATGGAAGCTCTTAATCGATGCCGGTTCCAATTTATAATACCATCTGAACGGCCAATGGTCCCAAACTGCTCGGAAATATTCGACACATAAGGGCCTCGTCGTCTGCATGTAGCGTCATGGCTTGCTTATAATGACGGATGTGATTGGTGGGGTCCGATTTTCCATCATATAGGATGAACGATGGAGCTTTGAACTTTTTGGGTAGTACTGCCCTTGCGATCCGTCGCACGAAGCGGTCATGTTGATCCTCTTCGTCTAAATCATTTCTTCTTCGTTTATTCCGTGCACGCAGACTCTCTTCGGAAGAACTGGAGCCTTCGACTCGTCCCTTTTTGGATTCTGGGGATGACGAGTCAGAATCACTACCACTATCTTGTCTCCGAATTCGAGGTCGTCGACCATTCTTTCTCAGAGGTCGTCCCGGATCTTGGCGCACGGCCTGTTGGGATTTTGCCACCTCCAAGGCCAAATCTTGTCGAAGGCACTCATTCTCAGCCATCATGTTTTCCAACCTCTGTTCATTTTGCTTCACCTGATCCATAATCGTTTGCATTGTCTCATGTGCTGATGTCGAGGGTGAGGTCTGGGCAACTAAGTCGAAGTTCAAGGCTCTACGTGCGGTAATGTTTTCTGGTCCAAGGATGGTGCTTGGAGTGGTATCAACTCGTAGCATAAGGTCGTCAGCGACTACCGGAGGATCTTCCGTCACGCCCGCCATGGATGTGCTGGAGTATTCCCACAAACGACGCCAATTGTGGAGAAGTGGTTTGGAAATACTCTTTGGATCTAATAGGACTCTCCAGATCCTCAGCTAATCACCTGAAAATGAATGAGCACTCCGGTCGGGGGTGTCGGAATTAGCACTCTGACGGATAAGTCAGTGTATACTCTCTTGGTTGTTTATATCTTAAGTTAAACTTACTTGTTCTCATATGCCCTCTCTTAGCTGATGTTCTTCTTATTTATAGTCATCCTTGATGTTGATGGTTGGGCCCACCTTTCGTCCAATGAATAATCCCTCATTCGGTTAACTGTTCGTACTCGGCCAAATCTATAGCTGATTATTCAGTCGATCTGGTTATTCAGCCTCCGTCCCTCCGGGATAGAGCCGTATAATACATAACTTGGTTTCTTTCCTCGAGTTACTCGGCCTCCGTACGTAATAGTCTTATTCAGCCCCCACAATTTGGTTTGGTTTTTTTAATTTGTGATTCGATCTTGATTTGGAAAATTAGAAATTTCATAACCGAGGATTGGTTTTAGATTTAAATCAAACCGGACAATATAACTTAAATCATATATGTTTATTTGTTGCACCATTAACTCTTATATCATAACACTACTTAAGGTATAATTAAAGAACTCTTAAATCATAATTGAAATAATATCGTAATCAACATCACAATAATTCATACTAACACTAGAAAAGTCATAACCAAAGATTACAAAAATCGTAACCAAAAATGCATATACTGTAAAATTTCCTCATGTAAAGTATATATATTTTTCCATTTTACAATGTTTGTGTATTGTATCTAAATTATGACATTTGCGAGATTACTTATCACAAATGTTATATCCAAAAGAGTTATTTAAGATGATTTAAATAAGTGTATTTTTACTTTTCACGAAAAGATGTGCAGAAAATTAAAGAAGTGATGTAACTCAAAAAAAGATTTAAAAAAAATAGATAAATACATTTTTTAGTGCATCTCAAACCACCCCTTTGGTCATAACTAAAAAATATATATGAGTTACAACTAAATATTACGAGGTGTTTTAGGAAGATAATTAAAAATTGACTTTTTAACTTTTTTAGACTTTGTTTTTTAAAAAATATATATATAAAAAATATGAGAGGTAATGTAACTAAAAATGAATTAAAAGCTATAAATAAAATAACACCTACCACTATAATAAATTATAACTAAGGGGTTGTTTGAGGTGTTCTAAATAAGTGCACTTTTTATCTTTTTGAACTAAAAATTTGAGAAAAAAAAAAGATAGATATTTGGGTTAATTTTTTGCCTTTTTATGAAAAAAATGTGTAATAAAGAATCGTATAAATATAGAGAAAATGTTTGGTGGCCACAAATTCTGTGGCTCAAATGGCCCGAAAACAATGTCGTTTTGGCATTTTCAGACCATTTGAGCCACAGAATTTGTAGCCACCAATCATTGCCGTAAATATAATGTGCAGTGAAAGAAAGATGATTCATGGTACGGCTACCTGCGGCTGCCCAGCATGTCCAATAGAAAAAATAATCAACTCTTTCAGGGTAAATAATTTTTGGACAGTGATGGTCGGTTCGTGGGGTCACCATGGGTTCCATTTTAATAATCTGAATCGTTCAATATGTACAATTCATCGAGTATTATATGTCTGTAAAAAATTACGTTGATCGGATATCGGTAGTTATATGATCAGATTAGTTTTTTTTCAACAGTTAACTATCACACCATCCGTTTTGTTTATACAAAACTGATTTGATCATATAGTTAACGATATCCGATCAACGTGATTTTTTACAAGAATATATTAATCAACGAGTTCTACATGTTCACAGTTCAGATTATCAAAAAGGAGTCCTTAACGGGCCCCCATGGACTCAATATTTTTGTGACTTCACATATAAAAAAAAATTGCCACAAACAAATCAATGTAATGCCTGTCTCTGCACAACAAGACGGCCAAGAACAACTGCTGTCCATTTATACTTTTGTAATATATAAAATATATTTTTAATATTTTTTATTTGTGAATAGTAACATCGTTTTTACTTTTTGTTTAATTTTTTGACATTTTAGATTATTTTTGTCATAAGTCCCCCTACCATGATCATAAATTATCAAATTAAAAATTGTAAAGATTATAAGTGGTTGTTTGGGATGTCCTAAATAATGTATTTTTTGTCTTTTTAGACTAAAAAAAATTGAGGTTAAAAATATGGATGTTTGGGTTAACTTTTTGACTTTTTATGAAAAAATGTGTAATAAAAAATTGTAAAAATTGGTTTGTAGAGGAAAATTAGGATTGGAAGTTATGCAGCCGTAATTGTTGACTTTTGATAAATAATATTAATTTTTTAACTTTTTAAATAATTTTTTAATTTTTTGACTTTTTCTTATCTTCTCAAACTTGACCTAAATATGAATTCTCCAAGAATTTTACATCCATCCTATCAATTTCAAATAAAATCATTTTTATTTATGTGTTTATTTTATTTTACATTGAAGTTAATGGTAAAATAAAAATCTTCTTGCTAGCTTGAACCTTGAGACTTCTACTCATCATCAATGTGAACCCATTGACTTTAAAGATATAGAGATGTGCATAGAGATACACAACAACAGGAGAACAAGGGGGAATGGAGATGGAGATGGAAATGGAAATGGATTTGTTCTCGTCCTTACCAGAAGGGTGCATATCTGCTATTCTCTCCTTCACATCTCCTCTAGACGTGTGCAGATCATCAACGCTTTCATGGGGATTCAAGTTAGCTTCTGATTCAGACACCGTCTGGGAGAAATTCCTACCGTCCGATTATCGAGAAATCATATCCAGATCGGCATCTCCTGTAGTCTTCCACAGCAAGAAACAACTCTACTTCACCCTCTGCGACTCCCCTATTCTCCTTGATGGGGGCAAAATGGTTAGCTAACTCTCTATTTCTATATATCAGTGATTTGATTTAGTGTGCGTTTGATTTGTGGTTTGAGATAAATTTTTAAAAAAAAAAAAAAAAATGGAAATGAGTTTAGAAATTTTTTTTGTTTATTTGGTTGGATATTTTGAAAAAAGTTTTAGAGTTTGTGAGTTTGGAATGATTTGATATTTTGTTATAATTGAGTAGATGTGTGTGGGGAAAAAAAATTGATTGATTGTTATATAATAGAGAGTAATTTTAGAATTTTTTTGAGAAAATTTATAACTAAACATGTTTTTAAAAATTTTCTACTAAAAACATGTTTTAAAATATGTTTTAAAATACAAACCAAACACACCCTTAATGTTTATGTTTGGCTCTTCCATTAATAATAATACAGTATTTATTTATTAAAAGTTAAGAGTTGTAGGTTATGGACCAGAGAAGCCTCTCCGAGATGAAGGATCATCAATCCAAATATACACAATTTTTATGAGATATGGTCGAAGGATACTATGGGGGTGTTTGGGAAGAAGTTTGGTCTAAAATACCACCTAAAAGACAAAATAGGTTAAAATGGTCAATAAGATAAAATGTCACATATAATTCATAATTATTTCACCTTTTCTTTTACAACCGTCAAATTAAATACAAAAAAAAACTTAACCAACTTCCCAAACAAAACTATTTTACCCAGATTAAAATAGTCAAAAAAATCAAATAAATAACTAAAATAGACAACTTCCCAAACAAAGCCTATAATATTTAAGTCAACAATGAAATTTAGAAAGGGCAAATATGTATTTGTTGTGCAGTAAGATGTTAGGATTGTTTGTTACAGTTTTCTTTTTTTTTTATTGGTGATTATAATTTATTTTAATTTAGGAATTTATGTCAAACTGTTTGGTATAATTTTTGCTTATAGCGTTTTAGACAGAAATAGCTTAATTAAGTTTTTTTTTAAAAAAATTGATTATTTGAAAGTTAGGTTAGGGGTGCTTTTAGCATCTGGTTCTTATTATCAATTTTTAACTTAAAAAAAGGTCCACCAAATAGGTCGTTGCTTGTCTCACGCTTAGGCTGCGTTTTGGAAAGGAAAAGGAAAAGAAAAAAAAAGTAGGTGAAATATAAATATAATATATCTACATTTCATATAGTTTCACATACTTTTTCCCTTTCTCTTTTTAAATTTCTTCTCAAATCTCCCAATCAAACATGACTTTAGAATGATGCCTATTTATGATTTTTTACATGGCTTATTTATGTAACGAGTTAATCTCGAACAAACTTCTATCAAGTTGAACACAAGTTGACTTACGCTATGTTTGGTTGGAGATTTGAGGAGGGATTTGAAAAGGGAAATAGAAAATGTATGTGAAATGTGAATAAAATATACTTATGTTTTACTTAATTTCACACATATTTTCTCTTTTCGTTTCCAAATTCCTTTCCAAATCTCTCAATCAAACACAGCATTAATTTATTTTGTAGCCCTAGTCGGCAAAAGTTCGATTTTATTCATAAATTATAAAATGTTTGAACAAAACAACACTTCTCAATGATGTAAAGTTGTGGAGTTCAGAGATTTTTGCAGCTTTTGTTACTTCTTGTTACCTCTTCTAATACAAATCTTTGTACTGTGATGTTTATATATCAGAGCTTTGCGGTAGATAAGCAGAGTGGGAAAAAATGTTTCATGCTACCAGCCAGGCAACTTGGTATCGCATGGGGAGGTACTCCACGATACTGGACATGGATCTCTTTACCTGAATCAAGGTCTTCCCTTCCTACACTTCCTTTCAATTTTTGTATGTTCGTAAATTTTTAGGATCGAGATTCTTTGTTATTCTTTTTTCTGCAATGATTTTGTTGTAGTTTCTATGGTCTAAGTTTAAAGTTGACGAAACAACATCATTTTGGGGTGTGAAGTGAAAATAACATTGTTTTGATTTAATTTTAAACTTTAGTACGATCATAGCAAGGAAAGAATGACAAAGGATCCAAGTCCAAATATGGATGGCTTGATTTTGACTTTCGCACTAAGGCCAAGTTTGGCATCCTCCAAAAAATCCAAAAAGTTAAAAAGTCACTATCCTATTTAAGTCACATCATCTTATTTAAGTCACATCACCTCTCTAACACATCACTTCAAACCCAACCCAAATCCAACCCATATTTCATAAAAAGTCAAAAAGTACACTTATTTAGTCTTCCCAAACTTGGCCTAAATCTATTTGTGAGTTATTATATATATTCAGGGTTTAAAGGGTGGATAATTACACTTTTGGTTCCTAACGTATGCATTTTGTTTCACTTTCATTTCTAGAATACTGAAGTGTTAAATGATTCCTATGATTGATGTCAATATTCAGCATTTTCTTAACAAAAAAATAATACTCCATCAAAAAGAAAATTAGCCCTTTACAAATTGACGCAATTGAAATATTATGACAAAAATGACAAAATGTATACTTTTGTGAGCAAAAGTGTAATTAATCTATTTTTTGATGAGGTATAATATTTTGTTATGAAAAGATCCCTAATTGTAATGATGAATACTGATGGTGTTTGTTAAGAGGACTACACATGACACACATTTAAAACTTTTGAGAATGATATCAGCTCAATTGAAATGTTAGAGATTAAGGCCAAGTTTGGGATGTTCCAAAAAAGCCAAAAAGTCAAAAAGTTACTCAAAAAGTTAAAAAGTTAACACTATTCACCAAAAGTCAACAATTACGGCTGCACAACTCCCAATCCTAATTTTCCCCTACAAACCAATTTTTACAATTTTTTACAATTTTTTATTACTCATTTTTCTATAAAAAGTCAAAAAGTTAACCCAAACATCCATATTTTTAACCTCAATTTTTTAGTCCAAAAAGATAAAAAGTACACTTATTTAGTCTTCCCAAACTTGACCTAAAATGACACAAATTGCATATTGTTACATCTTAAGAAGCATGGACACTTCTAAAAATGTGGCGTATTTGTGTCGTGTCCATGTCGGACATCGATACTAATCAGGCACTCATCCGACACGTGTCCGACACTCATCCGACACGTGCCAGACACTCATCTAAACGTGTCGTAGTTTTTTTATAAAGAATTTAGGACTCGGACACACTTCAGACACTCTTTGGATACTTAGAGGATACACGTGTCCATTAACTAAACACACAAAACTAATTATAAGTTTGAACAAAATAACTTAGAATAAAATGATAAAACAAAAATAAAGTCAATTTATAGAAGTTAGTTTTGTATTGTATTTATTTATTATTTTAGAATGACATGTTTATATATATGACATATATAATAAATATATAAAATTATATATTTTGTGCCTGTCTCTCACATGTTGTGTCCTGTATTTTTTGAAAATTGACATGTCCGTGTCGTATTCGTGTCGTGTCACGTGTCTGTGTCCATACTTTAGTTACATCTTATTGCATTGGTGAGTGATGTGGATAAAGTTTTGCAGATTCTTGGAGGTGGCCCATCTTGTGGAAGTGTGTTGGTTTGACATTGGAGGCAGATTAAACACTCAAATACTGTCCCCGGAGACCAACTATGCAGCATACTTTGTATTCAAAATTACAGAGCGAAATTATGGATTTGAATATGCCCCAATGAAGGCCTCAGTTACACTTGTTGGGGACATAGAAGATAAGACAATTTATTTGAAATTGCAAACAATACCGCTTGGTCCGCTTCCACGAAGGAGAAAGGATGGGTGGATGGAGATTGAACTGGGAGAATTTTTCAATGAAAGAGACAATGATCGTGAAGTGGAGATAAAATTGATGGAGATCGAACACCTTAATGGGAAGTCTGGCCTCATTGTCGAGGGCATTGAGCTTCGACCTAAAGTGGATGCATAGGTGAAAAAAAGACAGGCATGTCTTTATATCTGTTATGGTTAACATGTTAATGTGGTCTTGGTGTAAAATGAATAGAAAGATCACTCTCCATAGCTATTGTTCATCTTTTTTATTGTACCTTTATTTATTTGGATTTGGTTACAATTTAACAGTTTGGCCAAGCAATTTTACTGTGTTGTCATTGGGAAGCAAATCTGTATGTACCACCACCATTGAGTGGCCGCAATAAATAAAATGGAGGGTTGAGCTGATGATATGTCGCTATTTGACATACTTGGAAGCTTTTTAATATTTGAACTTGAGGTCTATCTACACTAGAGGTGGCAAGTGACGGAGCTGGTCAAAACAAGTTATGGATTAAAATAATTCAATTCAAAAATCCAATCAGCTTGTTTATTTTGTAAGGAGGTGGGGAGGAGGTAGAGTTAGGGCAATGGTGTTGGTGTTGATGGATGCCTTTGATTTTTTTATTTTTTTTTTTACCTAAAACCAGTGAGTCATTTAAATTTAATTGGAAATAGGTATATAAGATGCCATCCATCATTAAGCGGTTTCAAATGAATGTAATTCAAGAAATTTATAGTTTTAAGTTTGTCATCTCTTAATATATATATATGGGTGATGCTAAGGATCCCCAGTGACTGGACACCCCCAGTGCTATATGGCACACTGCCAGTGGCTGAAGTTCAAAAAAAAAAAAAATTCAGCCAATTAACAAGGACCCTAACACTTTTTTTTAGCCAATCAACAAGGATCCTAACACTCCCGCTGGGGGTCCAATGCATTTTCCTATATATATATATATAACGAGAGAGAGAGAGAGAGGGAGAGAGATTTTACACACATTGTCTTCAAATTTTCTCACTTGAAATTTGATTGGTATAACCAGGATTTTTAATGTCTTCAAATTTTCTCACTTAAGATTTGATTGGTATAACCAGGATTTTTTTTGGGTAATTTTATTTGCACATCATATAAGTTTTTAGTATACATCACAAATGTATTCGGATATAAATTTTTGAACAAATATCAAATGTTCAGATTTAGATTTATGAACATAAAACAGTTGTTTAGACATAAATAATTGAACGGACTATATATTTAAATAATTTATTTTTATTCATAACTTTAAATTTGAACATTTAATATTCATTCAAAAATTTATATCCAAATATATTTTCATATTATTTTATCTCAAAATTATTGTCATTCAAATTCAAACCTATCTTTTATCTCCTCTCACACTAAGGCTAAGTTTGGGAAGACTAAATAGGTGTATTTTTTGACTTTTTATGAAATATGGGTTAGGTTTGGGTTGGGTTTGAAGTGATGTGCTAGAGAGGTGATGTGATTTAAATAAGATGATATGATTTAAATAGGATAGTGATTTTTTGACTTTTTAAATTTTTTAAGAGTTGCCAAACTTGGCCTGAGAAAAATTTTGAAAATCCCAAAATAATTCAAGAGAAGTAGATTTGGGTTGGGTTGGAATGAACCTAGATAAGGTAAAATATTAATTAAAAAATGATATAATATATTATATAGTAAAGAAAAGAAGAAACCTGTGGAGGGTCCAGACTAATGCCTTCGTGGACAGTGAATACTCTAAATTCGCATCTGGGATTTTCGAATCGAAGGTCAACACTCTTCTCTCCCTCTCTCGTTCCTTTAATCTTCTCAGTTCTAATGTATAATACCTTTTCACATATCCCGATTGTGCCTCTAAATTTGCTTTTCAGTTATATGAATTACTTATTCTATCTCTATGTAATCTGCCTCTAGATTTAGCTTACATAGGACCATGATTAATCTCTTTTTCTTTTCTTTTTTTTGAATTGGGTGTCAATGCAAAACCTGTTGTTTGTTCTCATATTTGAAGCGATGAAATGGGTTCTCTATGTTTTTAGTTTTTGTGATTATGGTTTATTATCTGTATATACGAGTCTATAATTGAGCTTTACTTGATGTGGGTTTCAATGGAAATCAGTAGTTTTTTTTTTGTGTGTGTGTGTGTGTGTGTTTTGAGAGGATGGAGCTTAGTCAAGAAAAGGGGGGATGGAGAAATGATAAAAAAAAAAAATGGAAACAGAGTTTGGTTTATAAATTTGGTGAGAACTGATGAAAAATAGTAAGAAAGATAACTTTCTTCGGGGATTCAATTTCTCACCAAAAGTGGTGAGATTTTGTGAGAAATAAACTGATTGGTCATAAAATTTTCATGATAGTGAGATTGAATATTAAAATACAAAGGAAGAAAAAGAAATCTCACTCATATATCCTTCGTCTCTCACATAATTTGATTTCTTAATCATCCAAACATGAAATCGAGAAAACACAAATTTTTTTTTTTTTAAACTTCATTTTCTCACCCAGATGGGGAAAAAAAAAAATCAATTGTTTTCTTATCTCACCTGTTATGCCAAACGGACGGTTAGTGAAGAAATGGCTCTTCGTTTAATCTATGTTTCTAATCTTCTTCAGTCATAATATACTGCATTATGCCATATGTATGATTTGCCTTCAATTAGTGTTTTTTTTTTAATATATATATATATATATATTTTATTGTGCTTGTGTTTTACTACTGCTTTCTGGAAGATATGGTATGCTATTATTGTAAATAGCTTATTTGCTTTTTCAGTTGCATTAATCTTGAATACACAACAAATAACATGCACTTTGTCATCTTCTTGAATCAGCGTGGTGTTGTTTCAGAAACAATTACAAATACTTTTCTCTGTAATTGAGTAAACTAGAAGAAAGGCCCAAGTATGGCTTTTAATCGTTGGTCCATTGTGCTCCGCAATGCTATCAGCAGCAGCAGTAGAACAAACTGGTTATCAGGGGCTGCTGCTTCCTCCTCTGCTCCTTCCAATTGGAGGAGATCATTATGCCAAAATAGTGTCTCCTCGTCCTCCTCATCACCATCTTCACCGTCTGCCTCATCGTATCACTTGAATGGCGGGCCTTCCTACATGCGTGGCGTTATGTTTACCGAACCTAATAAACCTCTCTCTATTGAAGAGTTCCACATGCCTCGCCCCAAGGCTGGTGAAGTTCTCATCAAAACCAAGGGTAAATTTTTTTCGACCGACTACACAAACATGTATATATATAACTGAGCACTTTATGATGTCATTATATGTCGTGAGGTGATTTTGTAAATTCTTTAGTTGTATCAATGTTCGGCAATGTACACACACACATACAGACTACAGAGAGAGTGAGAAAGTGTTTGATTTGCAAAATCACCTCCCCATTGGAAGAACATTGTGCCAATTTGCTGGTGGCTTACTCAGCTCAATCAAACCCTTTGGTGCAGAAATAGTGGAATACAGTTACAGGAGAATGAAAGACCCTTAAAAAAAAGAAGAAAAAAATTGACAAAATCATCAACTTTTACCGTGATGTGAAAGGGGCCTATATCTATAAACTTTAATGTGATTAATAATTTTTGGCTTCCATATTAGTAACGATGAAGTGTACGCCCTTTACTTGGTCCACAAAGGCACAGAAGAAAAGAAAATGCAAATGGATTTGTGAAATTTTAATTCAGTCTTTATCTTAGAGTAGGGAAGAAATTACAAAAGAAATCAATTTCCCTTTTTTTTTTTCTCCTTTTTTTTCCCTGTCCCCTGCATTTGTAAGAATGAAACAAGGTATTAAATGTGTATAGGAAGTAAATTTGAAATTTTGATTCTTGTTGTTGAATTGTTTTTCAGTTACTGCTTGTACACCCCTTTTCCTGTAGTTTGTTTTCAGTGTACACAGTTCATTCATTCAGCAACTTTCTATTTTTTGTGTTATCTAATTGTTGTGTCTATTATTGAGTGCTTGAAATATGCAGCCTGCGGGGTTTGCCACTCTGATCTTCACGTAATCAAAGGTGAACTTCCATTTGCTAGCCCTTGTGTTGTGGGTCATGAGATCACAGGTGAGGTGGTTGAGCATGGGCCCCTCACGGACACCAAAATCATTGAAAGGTTTACTTAAATTTTCTTTGAAAGATATGCTATAATTAATCACGATTCACTAAGAACTCCCAAAATGATGGACTGGTCCTCAACATGGATAACAGGATCAGTTTTGCCTTGATTCTTCAGATTTCCAGTCGGAGCTCATGTGATTGGAGCTTTCATAATGCCTTGCGGTAGCTGTTTCTTCTGTAATAAGGTGATTAAATCAACTGATTCCTCAACTTTTCTTTCCCTTGATCTTATTTTGTCTCTAACATTGCGACTTGCTGGTGTCGATATATATAATACATGGTATCAATCTTATATAGTAAGTTTTTTGAGTGAATACAGGGTCAAGATGACTTGTGTGAGGATTTCTTCGCTTATAACCGCGCAAAAGGAACCCTTTATGACGGAGAAACCCGCTTGTTCCTCCGCAACAGTGGTAACTGTTTCGTTACCACTTACAATTTACTTCATCTCAATATGAACTTGAATTCTCAATTTTCAACACATTCTAATTGAGCACTTTTATTTTCATTATGTAATTTTTCCTTTTGGATATTCTGTTTGTGTTAGGCATGTTGATTTCTCAACAGAGTATTTTTAGTTACTCATCATATAAATACTGGCCTCTTCTTACATGTGAAACTCAGCAGGGTTGAGCGGCCTCTTCTAAAACGAAATCTTCTGTGATGAGCCTTTTCCACCTACATATTGACTTTATTTTTTTTATTTTATTATTGGATAAGTATTTTGACTTTCTTTATATGTCTCACCAATACATCCTATATGTAATTTTTTTTTTTAAATAAAAAAAACTTATGTTCCACTCACTATCTGGGGGATCCATCTATTTGACACTGACTTCCTTTGGTTCTTTTCCTACTTCTGTTTCAACTTTGATGACTGTTTAAGTTTATTGATTCCTTTGTCTACTTCTCTGTTGGAATGACTAAAATATGTCATTTCTGCAGGCAAACCTGTATATATGTATAGCATGGGTGGCCTTGCTGATTTTTGTGTCGTGCCAGCACATGGTTTGTGCATTTGTAATTTTTTTTTTAAAATAAAAAAAACTTATGTTCCACTCACTATCTGGGGGATCCATCTATTTGAAACTGATTTCCTTTGGTTCTTTTCTTACTTCTGTTTCAACTTTGATGACTGTTTAAGTTTATTGATTCCTTTGTCTACTTCTCTGTTGGAATGACTAAAATATGTCATTTCTGCAGGCAAACCTGTATATATGTATAGCATGGGTGGCCTTGCTGATTTTTGTGTCGTGCCAGCACATGGTTTGTGCATTCTACCCGACACATTGCCGTATACAGAATCTGCTATTTTGGGATGTGCAGTTTTTACCGCATATGGTGCTATGGCTCATGCAGCTGAGGTTCATCCTGGGGATACCATTGCTGTGATTGGCATTGGGGGTGTTGGTTCTAGGTAAAAACTAAAATTAGTGATCTTTTAAATGCATATTGCTATCTTATCATTTTACTAAACCAACCAGTTCATGACTTGGTGATACTTTCCATTTATAAGCATGATACTCATATGCCTCGGAAACTTTCTGGGTTTCTAGAATGAGCCATGCAATTGTGTGGTCTCTTCAATTGGCTCTCTCTACTAAAATCTGAAAAACAAGATTGTGTGATCCAGTTGTTTGCAGATAGCACGGGCATTTGGCGCCTCTGAGATCATAGCTGTTGATGTACAAGACGATAAACTGCAGAAAGCAAAAATGCTTGGAGCTACACACACTGTAAATGCACAAAATGAGGATGCTGTTGAAAAGATTAGAGTACGTAGTCCCTTTCTTGAGGTTTTTAATTGCAGAGTAGTACCGATTTGATTTGGGATATCAAGTCTTTGTCAAGTAAGAGGAAGAAAACCAAAAAATGATTTGCCAGCCATTACTTTTTTGGGATATTAATCTCTGTTTGGTTTGATTTTCAAAATTTGTTTTTGGAAAAAATTCAAAAAAAAAAAAAAACTACAAACTAATTTGGTGAAAAAATTAAAAAATAAAATCCATTCATCATTTTCATATGGAGTGTGGAAATACTTTTTAAAGGATTGAAAATATATTTTTGGTTGTTTATTTTTGTCGAACTAGTTTCTATTTTTCAAAAAAAATTCTGAAAATAGATTCTGAAAATGAAATCAACTTTGTCAAGTAAGGCTGCTCATTTCTCTATTTAGCTAACTGGTAGTTGGCCTTTGCTCATCAAGCTGAGAAACAAAGTATATGATATAATTTATTCCATAGATGTGCACCTTTCATACAAGTTGGCTTCGCCATGGAACCTCTGCAATTAATCGCAAATATTCACAAAAATCAAGTTCGAACGAAGTTTAGGTACTACAAGTCTCTAATCTTTCCTTCAGTAGTATTGGACTCTTGGCTATCATAAAAAAACATTTTGCCTATCTAGTTGAATTCAACATTGGTACTGCCTTACAGCTGTAAAATAACTATTTAGTAAAGAGCTGCAATATTTTTTTTATTTTCAAGTGATGTGAATTGTTTGTTACCCTGAGGAGATTTCTTCGACTAGTTGTGCATGGCATGTAATATGATATATTTTGCTCGTTGGAAATTGTTTATTGTTGGATCAAACATAAGATTTATTTAAGTTGCTTTGAAACTTCAGCATTTTTGCCTTTGGGTTTCATGACTTTATTTTTTAAGGTATTTATGAGTTCAATGGATTCTAAAGAAATCCTTTTAGAGAGATACTTATGTTAGTGTGCTTATTTGGGCAGGAAATAACTGGAGGAATGGGGGTAGACATTGCTGTGGAAGCCCTTGGAAAACCGCAGACATTTTTGCAGTGCACACAAAGTGTACGAGATGGAGGAAAAGCTGTAATGATTGGGCTTACGCACTCTGCTGCCAGAGGGGAGATAGATATAAACCGTCTGGTTCGTAGGCAGGTGTGTCTTTGTACATTTTAAGTCATAAAACTTGCATGGCTTTCAAGTTTTGGTAGCACACTTATTTTCTTAATTTGAGGTTTCAATAAATTTAATATCTCTAAAAAGTAGAAGTTAAGAACCAAAGAGAAAATATATAACTATAAATTCAATACTCAAACCCAATTTATTCATTTTGAACTCTATGATCATGTTGTAACCAATGTTTTTCATATTTTAGACTAGAGGTAGTTAGCTCTGGTTTCCATATTAGTAGAGCGTCTGATTGTGCTTGTAACATATCACGGTGCAGATTAAAATAATTGGCTCATACGGAGGCAGAGCAAGGCAGGATCTTCCAAAGTTGGTTAAGCTTTCCGAAAGCGGTATCTTCAATCTCAGTGCTGCTGTTTCAAGAAAATGCAAAATCGAGGATGCAAATGAAGTGTACCAAGATCTCAACCGGGGCAGTATTGTTGGGCGTGCTGTTGTTGAGATAATGTAGTTGTGTTTCATCAAATTGTAAGGCTTCTTTGGCTCCTTATCTCCAGTACAAGGTTGTCCGTTTGTTAGAATAAATAACATGTTCAAATGTCTGTTTGTGGGGATAGAACTGATGATTGTGCACAACTACGTCCCTTGTGGAAGGGGTTGTTGCTGCAGATGGCAGGAAGTTACTATCATGTCATTTTTCATGTCTTTTGTTTCGACATTCAATGGCAATGATGCCTTGAAATTGTTTTGTAAGACTTGCCATTTCACTTATTTTCTAATGCATAATGGCGCTGTTTGGGAATTCATTTTTTTGGTTCTTTTTTTTTTGGTTTTTTTTACTAAAAGACAAATTGATTACAAAATAAAAAAAAACACCAAACAAAATATCACATTAAGCTTCATAATCATTTTACTTTTTCTCTTACAAACATCACATCCAACTACAAAAAAACTTACTTCCCAAACACTCATAATATTGCAATATATCATTTATGGTTAAAATGACGCTACAATAGTACCGATTTTTTTATTTATTTATATCACTGTGCATCAAAGATCATTTAGAATATTGCATTGTACCCTTTGGCGTGAATTACAAAATATATCGAATATAAATTAAAATGTGACAATGGAAAACAGCAGCTCTTTGTTGCATATTAAAACAGGCATTGCACTATAGAAGAAATTCGCGAATTCGAGCTGGCCTTTTTACTGCATTTGTATAACCCTGCAAAAGAATGAAAAAGATGCAGATTACCAAAAAGCTTCACTTTCTGCATTGCAAATGAAACTATTTATACGACAGATCTCAAGAAAATTGAACTCATAAAGATGGCATGCAGCAAGAAGAGAAATGAAGTTATAGATGAAAGGAAGTTATAGATGCAAAAATAATAATAATAATAAATAGTTTGAAAATAATTTTTTTCATAGATTTCTTGAGATAATTTCGTATGAAGGTATCTCAAGAGATCTATGACGTGAGTCTCACCAAAAAGTTTGATGTTTACGACCCATAAAAACTATTATGTTGATCAAGGACGACTCTATCAATCTTCATCTACTTCAAACTTCAAAGTTGGCATAAAAAAATTTAGAAGTTATTTATGAAACTCTATTAAATTGAAACTTGAATGTTCGGAGATTCATTTCCAATGTTAGAAAACGACATCTTTTTTCTTGTTCTTTTTTTTTTTTGCAAAGTTTCAACTACAGCAAGATTTCATGAATCACTTAGACATGGCTACGAATCCGCTTGCAATATGCACAATTTGCATATGAGTATATGCTAAATTTGAGAAGTATGACTGGTTGTTACCTCGTTGAATTTAAATAGTAGAGGACGTGAATCTCTCTCCAAGGTTGCTGGCTTATTCTTTGCATTGTCAGTATCCTGAGAACCTTTGCTGCTTGACTTTCTAAATCTGGTTCAAAAGACAAAAAATTTGAATTACTTTTCCATGTAGCATGTTTCTTCAATGTCCGGTGGTAACAACCAGTGGTGACAAGGACAATTTTGAATTATTCATAAAAATGTCAAACAGTGGTGTTAGAGACCACTAATTTAGTGGCTCTAAACCCATCACTAATGAGGTGGCAAAGCAAAAAGAAAAGAAAAAAAAGACAAGAATAAAGATTGGGACCCCTTTTCCCCCACCCCCTTTGACCCCCTTTCTTTTTTGATTGGTCACTTTTTCTTTTTCTTTTTCTTTTTTTTTTTCTCCTCCAATCACCACCCGCCACGTGTGTGTAGGGGTAGTGAGAGTTGAAGTTTGAGGGAGTCTAAATCACTGCTGAAAAGACAATACACACTGTGGCAGTGGGTGAGACCCACTGCCACATCATTAGTGGTAGTTCTAATTAGAGAACCCACTCATTTTTCAATGTCAAATAATCGTCCAAAGGTGACAAGGACAAGATAAGCTTCCATTATATATACAACAACATAGATCGGAAACAGAAAAATCAAAGAAAGCACGAGCTATTATTATTTCTTGAAAAAATGCTGTGAAAACAACTTCAATATCATGAATTAGTAACTTGTGAAATATGCTCACTCTAATTTTATATGAAAATTTCAATATTTTAAATGCTTTAGCCATTTTATTCAACGCCTTCACATGATCACAAATACCAATTTCACTGCATTCTAAACTACCATTTTTTTTGTCAGAAATTCTGTTATTATGTCAACTGCCCAGAACTCCAGTGAGCTACTTGTTCTAGTGTCATGTCCCTTTAATATGAACTTTATTCTAGCCCATAAATCATTGGAAATTTTCTTGAGTATTCTTCATTCTGCTACCCCGTTAACTCATAGATAACTCACATCTTCAACAAAAATAATCAAAGTGAATGTGCCGCTATAAAATCTGTCCACGCATATATGTTGGAAAAAGATTAAGAAAGCAAATTCAAAAAGAAGCATAATATGTATACCTGTCAAAGAAGTTGAAGGAGCCACTAGAAGGCTTTTTAGCCTTCTTAGTATCTCCAGGGGAACTGATTTGTACACTAGCTTTGGCATTTACAGTAGATCCTGAAGCTGATGAAACATGGTTCGTAATCAAATTAGATATTCCCAGGATTGATGTATTCTTGGCACTTCGCATGTTTTCAGCATGTGAAGTTGAAGAACCAGATGTGGAAGATTGTGGTCTGCCATTTTCCTCCCTTGCCAGTGTCTGGTTTCCTTTGCTGCGTGCATCAATGGGGTCCATTGATCCGTTGATGCTTCCTTTCAAAATTTTTTGCTTTTCCACCTGAGGTTAGTTTGTCACATGCATAATATTAGTTTGATATTAAAATCCATCTTGTAAATAATAAAGTTCTGCAGCATCTCTTAAACAACACATATGAAGCAAATTTAAGTGAAGCTATTGAAAGAATTTTACATTTTGACACAAATAAATGAAATTATGATATACATCCCTTGCACAAATGAGCAATTGTTTTGTTTCACAACTAAAGGATGAGACAGGACTACATTAAAAAAGAAGTGAGTGTTAAATTGTTAACCACCAACTCATCTAAAAGCTTAAGAGGGTAGAGAGGGTGTGGTGCAAATTTTAACACGCAACCTCATGTGGCCGGGCTTTCCACCATGAGCGGTCTAAACACGTGCAAGTATTATAGTTAATGGCTAGGAATGAGATTTGGAAAAGGACCATCGTCTGCTCTAATACAATATTAAATTGTTAACCACCAAACTCATTTAGAAGCTTAAGCTATAAGTGATCTCTTTTGGGGTAAATAGGTAAATATTACCAAAAAAGAAAGACTTACAACAAAGCCCAAGACACAAGCCCAAAATGACACACGGACATGGCCGAAAGGTCCACTAACTCACAAAAGAGGCTCCACAAAAACCTGACCAATCCATTCAAATTGAAGAGAATAAAATAACCATTTGGTTGTAACTTTTGTATTGGTAGAACATATTTGTGATGCTATACAACTTTTTGCTGACTATTTAATAAGCTGCGTAACTTACCTCATGCACCAAGACCTGCCTCACAGCAGAAGCAAGAACAAAATGACCAGATGTATAACCCTGTTCAACACCGAATTATAAGGCAGTTAGATAATAAACAAACCACATATCAGATTTGATAGCACAAAAGCACAACACTAACCTTGAAGTTTATTAAGTCACCAATTGGAGGATCAAATGAAAGCATTGAAGTATCTGAAACTGCATCATGTCTTGAGGCACTGGGTAGAGGATCAGATTTCAGGCTTTTATATGTAATACAACAGGAAACCATTGTATTCACTAACTGAGCCATATCATTCTTCTCTTTCTCTGATAGTAAGTGCACTGCCACCTGAAGAAAAAGACAGCATACTGTTTCAGACCATACCATTAAGAAAATCCGAAGTTTTTCATCATTCTAAAAAGAAAGAAAGAAAACAAGAGAAAGCCAGCAAGTAAAGGAATGTGTATATAGACTGATTTGAGTGATGGAATGTTTATAGATTCAGTTCCTTCTAGTATCTCTGCTTTCATGTAGGCCTTCTTTTGGGGTGCTTAGTTGAGCCAAAATGCTTGTTTTCTGCTTCTGTATGGGTTGCATCCCCTTTTCTGGTGTTCTTAATAAATTTCACTTACCAAAAATATAAACCTTTTGAATTTACTATTTTTCCAACCCAATTGTTGGATCAACCCCTTACCTAATTGCAACAATGGGGCTAGACAAGGTCATAGAGTGCCTGGTTTGGATGGGGGTTTTTTCATGTATTAAATGAGCCTCTCATGGACAAGGGACAAGGGTGATATGGAATTCATTATAATTAGTGTTATACATCATATGAAAATAAAAGGAAAGCAAAAAGGAAAGCAACAAGGCAGGCACAACTACACACAAAAGGAAGACAAAGGAATAATATAGGTGAATTACCGGCCTTAGAGTTGGGGGTGATAGAATATGCAGTAATGAAGATATTGTATCTTCTACAAAAGATTTTGTTGACATATGCCTTGAGATATGTGGTAATATTTTATTGTGCCAAGACCGTAGAATATCCATCTTTTCCATCAACATCGTTCGGTATCTGTTGGTTCACAGCAACATGCAATAGTGAGAATACTGATTCTTCCCAATAAACATAAACTTCTAAGAGAAATAGAAATACCTCTGGAAAGACTTTGGCCATTCAATATTTGGTTTCTCATTTTGTGCTACCAGACTACGCACAGTGATTGCAATACTGGGTTGATAAACTACAGAATGTAAAATGAGGAATTAAAGATTTTAACTTGAAATTTATCCTTAATAATGGAAGGCCAAAAGTTCATATGTGCCCAATGCTTTACCTTGAAGAGACATCCGTTGTGTACGCATAATATATTGATGAAATAAATCGGAAACACCAAGACTATGCAAGCATTTGACCTTCATTTACATTTTATGTTAGACAAATATCTCAAAATGACATATTTAGCTAATTCCCTAGACTGAATGAAGTCATAAGGTAGACAAAAGGTTTTTATTGCAATTACGACTTACAGTCTTTTGCATAACTGGATCATGATAGTGAAGCTGCAAAGTATTTTCATGGATCCCATCTAAAATTAAATCGTAGTCACCGCTGGATAGTTGGCAATCGTTGAACAGTCAAGATAGATGACCTTTCACTAGAAATGATGAAAGAGAAAATGAAAGTTTTAACTGGAGTTCTTAACCTACCGGTTAGAAATCATGGAGTGCAGAAAGTCAAATTCATTGGAGATGCTGCTGCAGCCACTAGCTGACTTCCTTTCTTGTTTTACTTTTCTCTTTTGAAAAATCTATCCAAAAAAAACAATAGTAACAGTAACAATAAGTCAGAATTTATATGCAAATTGATAATGCCAAAAATGAAAATTAAACGGTTTAACAAATTATTGTTTTACCTCTTTCCATACGTCAAAAACACTTTTTGAGGTGTCCTTCCGGCCAACCATCTGAGAACTGATCTCCAACTAAGAACCAATAGACCATGCAAATTATGTTTGCAGGAGACCAATCAAGAAAATAAACATCTATCAAAAAAAATCCCAAGAAACTTTTCATGAGAAAGACTTGATCTTCCTCAAACCCTTAATTGAATACAGCATAGCAATATATATTCTACCACTATTAAGCAACAAAAAGTATGCTAGAGCGAGATCAGCTGAATATCATACCATATTGAGGGTTTCCTTCTTCTTGTGGAGAAACTGAAGAGTGTTTAAGCATGAGCGTATATCACACTCTGTAAATAGAAGCATACAAGAATATCAAGGCCATAAAACTCAGAAACATTCTGCAGCACAACACCATAAAGAATATTAGAAGCCTCTGAAGAATTCATCAAGATTACTTGATGTCCAAAGTGGTTTTAGCACATAAATGCTTATCATAAGTAATAGCACATGACTAAATCTGATATTTAGACAAGTAATTTTCTTGAATGATTCAAGTACAATTGTCTTTTTAACCGTCTCCCATAAAGTTTAATTCCACTTCAATAAATTTTTCAGAATGTCTTAGAACCCCATTGACTAATAAAACTAAAGGCTTACAGAGATGTTGAGATCAAGAGAATTTCTGCACCTGCATGTTTTGTGATTTCTAATCAAGCTATGACAATAATACTTCAGAGTAGAACTCTAATTCCATCACCCTTTGCATGAGTCTCACCTGTTGTAAAATGATGGCACAGTCCCACTCATGAGGACTCAACTATTTGGGTTCTTCATTTATTTTAGTCACTACGCTTCATTATCATTGCCAAAACAACAAACAGTATTTGTTTGACAGTTTTTCTCTTGTTATGGTCTTTCTTTAAGTGTCAATTACCATTTGAATGCTTCATCCTTATTTTTGTTATCTTTCTATATAACTACTAGCCTTTTTATTCAAGAAACCTTCAAGGAGGGAAGAAAAATTTATTCACAAGGTTGATATGCCCTTGTGGAGGAGCTATTACTCACCAGTATACTCTGCAAGTGCAGTAAGTGCAATGGAACTTGCCTTTAGTCCTTCCTTGTTACATATATATTTGAGCCTACAATAACCATTTTTCAACAAATGAGGCTGCATAATTACAATCACAAAAAAGTGACAGTTCAAATACAGTAGGGGACAATCATAAAAAGTCGTCTATTTGAACAAAAAAAGTGTTTATTATTGTAGATTAACGAATTTAATTTTCTTTTGTTAATGATATAAGAAATATATATCATGATAATGTGTGTTGGAAAACTCGATTAATTTTATGAGAAACATATATCAATAACATGTGTGAGAAACCTGCTTTATTTTATGGAATGGAATATTGATAAATGAGTATATTACCAAATAACCCCAATAAATACTGTAAGAAAAATTGATAGAGAGAGAATAAATTGTGTATATATAGATGTTATTGATTGTTGTTTTATTGATATTACAAGGATTCCTATTATATAGAAGAGGATTTGGGTAGTAGGTGAGGAGTAGGTGAGGGTAAATTGGTGGTAGGTGTAGTAGGTGTGGTAGGCCTACAATAACCATTTTTCAACAAATGAGGCTGCATAATTACAATCACAAAAAGGTGACAGTTCAAATACAGTAGGGGACAATCATAAAAAGTCATCTATTTGAACAAAAAAAGTGTTTATTATTGTAGATTAACGAATTTAATTTTCTTTTGTTAATGATATAAGAAATATATATCATGATAATGTGTGTTGGAAAACTCGATTAATTTTTTGAGAAACATATATCAATAACATGTGTGAGAAACCTGCTTTATTTTATGGAATTGAATATTGATAAATGAGTATATTACCAAATAACCCCAATAAATACAATTCCTAGTTCCACCCCTGGTATCATTTTTATGATCGACAATTGTAAACAATGGGGTCAAACTAAAGCCAAGTCAAGAAACAATAATTGGTGATAAAAGTGATGGTTCCAAATGAAGGCTGTCAAATGTTAGATCCATCAAACAGGCAAAATTGATAAACCATTACCTGCTTACAATACGACTCGCTGTTGGTTGAACAAATATATGAACTCTGTAACCAAAAGCAAATATTTAGTATCGAGGTATGAAACAATTCGGCTTTGCGATGTATGTATCATATCAAGATCAAGAAAAAACACAAAGACACATAATATAGTTGTCTTGACTCGTCATTTTTACTTTAATAATCTAGTATTACAGATTCTCAAGAACATGACTTGAGTTGCAATTGTTTATGGTCTAACTATGATACCGTAAAGCAGAGCATGATGTGCCATTTAACCCAGTTATGATGACATCAAACCAACTCTACAAAGAAAATCTGGCAGAGAATCCTAACAACGGAGAAAGAAATATGGAAGGAAAACAAAAGATTGTTTGCTCCTAGAGTGAATTGAGGATTGATACACAAACCAATGGGCAGAGACAATAAATCGGCACGCAATATTTTGTTGCATCGTAAATGATATCCAAATGACATTTATATAAAATTCTTTTCTTTACTCAGCACATAAGCAAATAAAATCTACACAAAGCAAAACCTTTCCTTTCATACCACAAATCACTAAGTCATAAACATAGAGAGCTTATTAAGCTTTTTGATGTACTTTCTTTTTTCTTTTCTTTTTTTTTTTTTTGACTGACAACATTTTAACTGACAGCAACAATAACTTACTTTGCCACTTGGCGCAATGGTCTTAAGGCAGGTGCATACAAGTCATTACATATGCAAATCACCTGCATATCAAACCCCACCCACTTTAAGTATGAGAAAAATGATTAATTAACTGCATAAGAGCTACTCAATCTTACAGGTCTTGACAATGATGCACTTTTATGCTTCTTTCTCGAGGACATTCTCCCTTGTTCTTCCTCTTTAGACACATTTTCTTTTCCAATATCTGACTTCCTCTCAGCAGCAAGCTGCATCAATAACATATGTGCCATTGTTATTCAGAAAAGTACTTCCTCCCATCGTGATGCAGAGTAAAACATCAGAATAAGTACATGGGAAGTTTATTTTCAACAGCCATTAATTAGAAGAATAAGATAACTAAAAATTTTAATAACCGAGTGTACGTCAGTAAAATCAAGTGTCTATCATTATATCATAAACTTGGCTATTTCTCACTCTTAAGCATGACACTACTTGAGGAGTTTTAGGTCTTAAATTTAATGGCACATCTAGTCCACATCAACTAACCCATATGCTCTGGAACTCAACAAAGAACCATGCATTCAAAGTACAAGAAACCCGTGCTTGTAGGAATTAGTCATGTAATCAACAATCCAACCTAATTATGGGAGGAAAAAAAAGGTCGCTGAGCTTACTAAATGACCCAATCTTTAACTGCATGGACACCTGCACATGAAAACAACAATAGCATACTATATAAAGGCAATATAAGTTACCATCTTTAGAATAACCTCCACAGCACCCTTGCCATCACCAAGAGCTCCATCTATTTCATCAATTACCTAAAAAAAAATGCCGACAATTGTATAATACCATACTATAAAAGCTAATGGTAAATGCCAAAACAATAACACTCACCAAACACTTGGGCTTTGAGTCAGCCATGACAGAATTCATCTGAACCACATCGAGAATTTTACCTTCAATTGTTGATGAAGACCGATCATCGCTTGCATTAATCTGCTTATAATACCATTTTAATGAATCGTTTTATAAAAATAAGAAATAGAATACATATAGATATTTAAGAATGATTCTAATACTGGGAAAGAGAAGCACTAGAATATGCAAGGAAAACATTAATAGAATACATCAAGCAGAACATGAAAACCAAAGCAGGATATAGGACCTAAAGAAGGATATAGTTGAAGTAGCTTATCTAAAAGACAGAAGAAACACAATAGCAATGAAATGCTCATATTTATGTGCATCATTAAAAGACAACAATAACAAAACCTCCACAACACGATATCCACAATGACTGGCAGCTACATGTGCAAGGGTTGTTTTTCCTAGCCCTGGGGGCCCGCACAGTAGAAGAATCTGCAAAAGTTACAAGGTTTGATTATAAATTACCTTAACCCTAAAAATAAAAAATGAAAAGATCACAAAGAAAGGATGACAACTATAAAAAGGAACAAAAATGAAGCATTATAAACTTTCTTGTCCACACACATGCACAGTCACAACTTTTGGAGGTTTAGCAAATGTGATAACAACATTGCAAGTTGGATTGATCTGGGAAGTAATTATGAAGACTTGGTATTTAAAGGTAAAATTGTTGTCCAAGTGTATAGGTCTATATACTACGCGGTAAATTTCAAGCGAAACACAATGAATTACTTTTGTATACTGAAAGGATATTTTAAACAAATCTCCATAGCTGACCTTCCTCTCTGGTGGACCAGAACACTTGGCTTTCTTGTTCCATAATTCCGGAATAGCTTTGCAGTCATTGTTTTCTTGATTTAAACCATTATAACCTTTGAAAGTTTCTTTGCTGAATCTACCAGCAAAGTTCCTTGAAAAGTTCCTATCAGAGAGTTTCTGATGTTGAGCAACCAACGAATGTCGTCTCAAAGAAGATAAAACCTCATCTCCTGTAGTCCTAATTTCAGATCCAAAAACACAAGAGTCCCACTGTTTCAACCACAAAAGGACCTGGGAACAGAAACAATGTAAGTGATGGGCAGAAACTCAAAGCAAAGAGCATCCTCAAAAGAAAATTGCTTTTGAAACTTTTAACTTAAATAGAAACTTCAGAGTTCAGAACAAAACTACGAATTGTCTTATGTACCTCGCGATTTGTCTGTTCATCACTAAGAAGCTCCATGAATGATTTGGGAGCATATTTATCAACCCAAAGCTTTTCATTCACCACTGGTGTTCCAGGAAGGATTGAATCACTCTGACCTTCAACACTAGCTTGCAGGGCCTGTAGTGCCACAACAATGAATATCAAACAAAAGTCTAATACATGAGGAATAAATTAATCCTTTGTAAGCTCACCAGTAACAATTTATCTTTGCCATCTTAAACCATTTTAAAATTTCTTAGAGAAAACTTTCCTGGTTCATGGGGTCAATTATATAAAGCCTCAAAAGACCTTCATCACTTGAAAAGTCATGAAATGTAAATTGCCAAGCTTAACTTCCTCCAAATATCTCATCCAAGAAAATTTGCTATCAAGCAACTGGATGAAGTAACCTGCTTGGGTGGTGGCCATCATTCTATTCAAATTATAAGATGATATAAATGACAAAGTCACAAAATTGAGCTCATAAGACCAGATTAAATGGAGCAGTTATATGGATTGAAGCAATTCTGAATTGTGGAAACATATCAGAATTACATGAATCCAACACATAAAAATACGCAGCAAGGTATCCCATCAGAAAATTTTCAGCATCAAGGTGGAACACTTTAATAAAATTTGTTAACATGAGTTTTAGCTCAGAGGGCGCATTGAGAGGAACGGTGTTAATCATTTTTTGTTTGGATTAAACAATATCTTCCTTTTCTTTGCATTCATTTTTAGATTTTTGGGGGGAATTGTCAGTAGATATATAGGCGGTGGTTTGATCTTTTGCTACTTTTTTCAGACTTGTATTGTGTCATGTGAGACCCTGAGATGGTGTTTTGCAAGTCATACATGGGAGGCATCTCTTTAATGATTTTTATTACATTTATTTATGAAAACAAAAACTGTGAACATGTAATGTTCTTATAGAAGTCATTACTTTCTTTCATGGTGAACAATCTAATATAAAGCCTACCTTTGCGAAAGCCTCCGTTTCCACCCTCTGCATTAGAATATGGATGGGTTCCGAAATAAGACCTGCAAAGTTGAGGAACTACCTGTAATATACTGAAAGGCACTGAAAGTTTGCTAACATGTAATACGAACCATGGCAGTATTTGAAATACATAATAAAAGACTAAAGGGCTGTGAATGACACTTTCCAGCATAAAATTTTCTGAATGGCTAAAAAGAAACCACTAAAAACCCAAGTGATCAAATAACCAATGGGAAGCTACCTGTACTTTAAGGAGTAAGGAAGGACAGTAAGATGACTAATAAATGGTTTCCCAGATGCAAGATGTGAAATTGATAGGCACAAAACGACAGAAGGCATGCAAAAATTTGACACACTCTGATTGACAAGCGGATGATGACACTTACAATCTAAGACCACTATGGCTATCTTATTAAGGATTCTATACTCTAGCACCAGATCCCTCTAACCATACTGTCCTCCGTACAGATCACCAAATATTGTTCCACGAGTAGGTTGATCCACAGCGGGAAAAAGATAACCAGGGTTCACTATCCTAGGAATGTGAAGGAAATTTACAATAACAAGAGTCACAACACAATCCAAACTTTGTACAACCAAACCCAAGTTTTGTCGCGCGAAAATTGTCAACACGATTTACAAATTGTAACAACACAAAATCAACCATGCAATCAAGTTCATAAATAATAACATTTTATTTCTTTTCTATTTATGTTAAATAGAGAACTAGAAATAGACTTTAAACAAAAACAGTATTAAGTAGTAACAGTATCATGACATAAATAGATAAATAAATACCCCAATTTGCTACTTTATAGAATAACCGAAATTAATATTCATGGAAATCAAAAGTGATATGTATAATATCAATAATGCTTGTTGTTCAAGTATTTGATTTTAGAATTTCCTACAAACCAGAATTCTTGTTCCCATGGAATCAACTATAATGCCATGAAGACACAAAATTACAGAAACAAAAGTCGTTTATCTTCTGTTTCTCGCCAATTAATTTCAATTTCTAGAGTTTCAGTTATTTACTTTTCCTACACTTTCCCAGAAACCAAACAGCATAATACAAAAATCATTGAACAAGAGTAGTCATACCACTAGAATACGCTTTGACATACAAAAATCATTGAACAAGAGTAGTCATACCACTAGAATACGCTTTGACATCCAATTTCTTCAACCTATCCTCCTCCACTCTACTCATCTTTGCATAAACCCTGTCACCATCCAATCCAGTCACCGGAATACAATCACCGTTTATCTCCGAAGCAAATCGCGAAACAATCTTCTCCACGGCCTCGACAACCACAGGCTCCACCACTTCAGTGGCCTCATTTTGCGGCGGCGGCGAATACCGAATCCAATCTTCATCATCAATTTCAGTCCCCAGATCATCGATCCTGCTCCTTTTATCCTCCAATTGGGCGTGTTCGTCAGAATTAGAGAACTCAGAGTCGTCGGATCGGAAGCGTTTCTTGCCATTGATTAGGGTTTTGGGAGATGTTGATGGGTCGGTAATTGGTGTGGGTTTGGGAGGAATTGACAGGGTGGGTTTTGTGGGTTGTTGGTTTTGCTTGTTGGGTTGTGGTTGGGGTTTGTTTTCTTCTTCTTCTTCGTCTGGGTAGGGTTCTGGGGGTTCTAGGTCATCTTCGTAGTCATCGTTGAGGTGAGAGTTAGCTTCTAGCCATTCGAGCTCTTCTGGTAGAGGAATGTCCATATCATTGTCCATCCCCATCTCCATATCCATCTCAACCTCAATCTCAATCTCGATCTCGATGTTGAATGGTGTAGTGTAGCAGAGAAAACAAAAGTCGGAATGAAAACAGAGGGGCTATGTTTTGGCGGGAATGTGAGGACGATGAAGCGGCAAACGAAACTTCCAGTTCCGAAATTACCCTTGTCAAATTAATTTGGGAAACTTGCGCGGACCCTACAAAATTTCGTTTATTTTTAACGTTAATTTTTTTTTTACCAATGAAACAGTAACGTAAATTATTTTAAATTCAATTTTTTTTTTGGGGTTTTTTTTTTAAGGTCCCTGGTATTATGATTTTATAGCATAAAGGACATCAAATATTTTTATAATGTCTAAGGTCCCTCAACAATATTTTCATAATGTCTAAGGTCCCTCAAGCTTGATCCAGAGAAATTTCATTTTTAGGTATTACCAAATTATATATCTTCAATTCTAGACATAAATTTTATAGTATAAAAAATATATATTTAATAAGTAAAAATTTTAGAAGGATTCAAGGAAAAACAAAACAAAAAACATAAATTAAGCATAAACTTCACTTTTTTCTTTATATTACTTCACGTTCAGTTTGTTTCACTGTCATTTTAAAATAAATACACAATCTTTTATAATAATTTGTAAGTTGAAGTACATTGACTAAGGTCTCATTTGGCAATATTATTTTTTAGTTTAAAAGTCAAAAAATTACTAAAAAAATCAACAACTTATACCAACAAATCAAAGATTCTCTTTTCTCTTTTCTTTTCTTTTTTTGCACATCTTTACGTAAAAAATCAAAAAGTCATCAAAAACATACTAACTTTTTTTACATCATATTTTGGCCAAAAAAATAAAAAAATTACTGAAAAAACCTGTTCGCAGACGAGGCGAAAGAGCATTTATAATGTTTCATCAAATTTGTAAAAATTTGATCTAATATGATGCACTCCAACAGTTTACATTAATTATGTCAGTCGTCTGACAGATCATTTGGTAAAGAGTAAATTTTCAGCAAATTCATCCCCAAACCCGATTGTTCGGGAGTTTATCCATCTAGTCGTCTCACCAACCGTCATTTGCGAAATTTAATAAAATGTTAAACGCTCAATTAGTTTGATGAAAGATATAACACTCCCTTCTTTTGATATTAGTCTAATAAAACGGTAATAACACTATTTCATCAGTTTTTCATTAAAATTGAATTTGATGAAACATCTAATGCAGCGTCAAAGATGACTTAATAAGTGTACAAAATATATTTGAATATAATAAAATTATGTATTTATATTTAAATGCTAAAAGATAAAATGCACGTGAAATCAAGTAAAAAATTATAAAATTTGTGTGCATTTTGTATCTCAATGTGTTTTTATATTTTTGCAAAAACTTTTAACAACCGTTTATTGGCGATAAATCAATTTCTATAGACACATCGCATTAAGGTCTTGTTTGGGAACAGGTTAATTTAGTAATTTTTTAGTTATTTGGCTAAAATATAAGCTAAAAAAAACTAGTATATTTGAGATGGCTTTTTGGCTTTTTACGAAAAGATGTGCAAAAAATAGAGAGAAAAGAGAATTTTTGACTTTTTGGTATGGGTTGTCGGTTTTTTTGCTGATTTAGTAACTTTTTGACTTTTTTGCTAAAAATGAGGGTTCCCAAACGAGGCCTAAGTTCAAGAATTTATTGTTTTTTTTTTTTTTTTTGTAATAAGACATAATAAATAAAATTATTTGATGAGAATGACTTCTTTGTTTGAAGGATTTTTATTTTTCTTTTCATTTTTACCCTATTGTTGCCAAACCACTGCCAATTGGTTGTGAGAAAAGTCACTGAGAAATGGCCAAAAAAAAGTTTGCCGCCAATGACTAATGGTTGTGGCAATATTTGATCAATAGACAAATTAAGTGGATATATAGATGACACATAAACAAATAAGGCATAGTATATGGACATAAAAGTAAAAATATAAATAGATAAGAGTAATATAATATTTCAAATTATTTGAGTGAAAAATAATAAAGCTTGGGATATTGCTCAAGAAATTTAAAAAAAAAAAATTCCTTGTTTAAGGGTTGTTTTATGAAGTGCCAAAAAAAAAACTTATTACAAAAAAGACATACAAAAAATAAAGAAATAATGTGATATAAATAAATTAATAAACTAATTTTTTTTTAACACTTCTCAAAAAAGGCTTAACTAAAAAAATAATAGTAGCGTTTGATAAAATTTTCTAAATATGATTTGAGAATAGAATTGTATTTTGAGTTTGTGAGTTTTGAAATTATGATTTGAGTGTGGAAAATTTGTTTGGTTATGAGTTTTAAAAAGAGTTTTGAATTGAGTTTTGGAGAGAGTTTTTTGAGTTTTTGAAATTATAAAAGTTATTTGATTAAAAAATTTACAACTCATAACCAAACACACAATCCAAAATTCTACTCAAAGCTCATATAAAAATTAAAAAAATTCTGAAAATATTTTTTATTTACAATATAAAAATAACCAGTGCCCAAGAGGGGGAAAAAAAAACAAAAAACACTGTTCTGGTCAACCCGCTAGATATCTAGGGGGACGTCTAAGAGGATGACCGGGTTAGCCAAATTTTTCCACCTAGAAACGAATTTTCAAAAGTAGGTGTAGAATTATAATTTTAAAGCTCAAAACAAACACTACACTCAAATGAGTGGGTGGAAATGTGTTTGGAAGACATAATCAAACACAACCAATCAGCTCCGATTGGTAACTCGAAAACAAGACCACTTGAATGGCCCGAGTCCAAAACAACGTCGTTTTGATTTTTTTTTTTATTTTTTTTCTCTCTCTCTCTCTCTATTTCCTCTTTGAAGATGAAGAACACAAAGAGAAAAGATAAAAATCGTTGTCGACAACAACACATCATCATCATTAACATCATCCTCATCAACATCGTCGTTATCAACACATCATCATCATCATCAACAATATCTTCATCAACATCATCATCATCAAACACATCATCATCATCAACAACAACATCTTCATCAACATCGTCAACATCCAACGATTTTGTGAAAATCCATATCCATCGATTTCAAACCCTGAAAAAATAAGAAGAATAATAAGAAACTCAATCTCTAGTGGAGCTCTCTCTCTTATCTCTCTTTCTTCTATTTTTTTTCTCTATTCCTCTCTCTTTCTCTTCCTCTGTTTTCAGATATCTAATAGGGGGGAAAAAGCTGCCCAAAACGACATTGTTTTGGGCAGTCGGGCCATTCGACCCAAAATATTTTCGAGATACGAATCATTTTTCAAAAATAATATGATCTAAATAAACTAATAATTTTTTTTTTCGACACTTCTTAATAGAGGCCTAACTATACGAAGGTGACCTACCACGAAATAATTAAAAAATATATATATATTTGTTATTTTTAAATGTCATATAAACTGGAGTACCCCACACGAAGTAATGCGAAATTTATTCCATACTTAAAAAGGTGAATTTACAATTTAGTTTATATGACTAAATTTTTTTTTTTTTTTTGGTACATTCTGGGCCGAAAAAAAAATTAAA